TTCAAACCCTACCTTTGAATTGGTTACGTAGCTCCTGCTGATCCAATGATTTCGTAGCAGAGTATCTTTAAACTATTAAATATTTGCTTTTGATCTAGTAGTTAAATCAGCATTACAACAAACAGCTAAAATCTTTCCCAAACTGATTTAATCACTAATCTGACCACAAAGGGGCACTTATATGCTTGAACTGACTTTTACTTTGTAGGGAAATTTGTGCTAACCTGTTCCCTAACTTCTTTCCAGGGCCTCAATACCCTGTTCTGGGCAGTCGTGAAACATGTACCTCCAAGTGGGACTTAAATCTTTGAATCTTGTATGAGAGTTAAAGCTGGCCTGCTTATTTTATCACTCTTGTTTATTTACAAAATAAATTATATCAAGCAGACAGAAAGCATTCTGTCTTCCTCTAATGACATAGCTGGATACACAAGAAGTTCCACAGAGTTCAAGAGTGTAAAACTCTAGAGAGGGACCTTGTATCACATTTTCAGTATATAGGCAAATACAGAATAAAAGAGGAGTAAACATTTAAAAGATATATGTACACATTCAAAATGAATACGATCAAGTTCATTTCATTAACAGCATTTGGGTTTGCTTCTGTTTAATTTAACAGAAACATATCACTCTATTCCAGAAGAATATTCCCAAGCCTCTATTTTTAAAAAGAATGAATTCAGATGCCCTTTTTATCAGAAAGAAAATTAACCTCAACAGGTACATAATGCTTCCCTAAACAAAAAACCTGATTTGGTCTTCCTTAATGACCAAGAGCAACCACATGGTAACAATGTGCAGTATTGCTTATGGCTCATATAAATAAGACATTATTTGTAAAAAATTTCAATAATAAAATTGGGAGAGAAAATACTCATCTCCAATACCACAGAATAATCTGTTGAGATAATGCATCAAAGCAAAACATTTCATCAGATACCAAATGTCTCAAACAGCAGAATTTAAATATGAAAAGCATTTTGAAGTATAGTGAGACACTGTTAAGAAATCTCCATTTGAAGACATTTCTGCATTTTAAGCTCCTTTTGATACTTTAATCCATTTTATACTCCCAGTATTTCCATTCAATTCCTGCTTCTACTACACTTCAAACCAAATTCAAGAGATATGAAATGTAGGTCCTAATTTACCAGGATTGCATCCTTTTAAAGGTTTTCTCCGGGTGAAGCTATTACCTGAGAGAGTTCAGTAAGGAATTCACAAAAGTTTCTGGCCACTAATTCTTTCCACAATAAAATCACTTTATAAATTCTGCATTATGGATTGCAAATGCTGAGAGGTAATGCTACAAATGCAACTGTATTATTTATATCCACAGACAGATGTAACAGAGACCACATGAAATAAACCAGACACACAAAGCAATGCTTAATATTTAATCTCTAAATTTCTATTGAGCCAAGTCATTAACCTACTCACATATATGAAACGCCATGTCTGTTGATCAATGCTTAATAGGATTACTTTAATGCAAAGACTCACTAAAATGATTAAACTAAGTTTTATTTGATGTCTGGTGCTTTCAGAGATTCTCTAATTAAATACCTGTTGCACACAGGTGCAAATCTACTGACATAATAGTGATTATCTTAATTTATGTTAACTTAGTGTGCTCCACATCATCACTTATGGGTGCTAACAGTTGTATGACATGATATTCCAACGTGATTCTGCTATAAAACCTTATACTTTGACAGAAAAATTGTTATAAAATCTTAAGGGTGCATAAAAAGCTGAGGCATAAATAAATTCACTACTGAATCAAATAGTTTATTTTATATTTCAATCATGCTTTTGTGATACTGCAAAAAGCAAAATTATAGATGTCTGTAATTAAGTTTGGTGGTCTGTAATTTTTTCGCTTCAGGAGACCTTCAGAAGTAGGAATGTTAGAAAGGTATTATGACAAAATTCATCATAATGAAACAATGCACAGTCAAGAACCAAACTTTAGGATTTCATATTATGAGTGATGAGAGATTAAAAATAAAAAAATCAGAACCAGTTGAGAGATGAGACCCTTCCACTTGTAGGATGTCACTTCAAATCCAGGTCTGATGGCCATGGAAATGCCATCATCTGGAGCTGGTCAGAAACTTTCAGTTTAGGGGAAATAATTTCCTTTTTTTTTTTTTTTTTTTTAATAAATTTGTTTCTTATGGAATTGAGTAGGTAGTCTTCTCTTGAAACAAAATCTATGGTCTTTTGTTTAGGAAGCATTGAAATGAAACTTGTTTTCAGAATTCCTCAAAGCTGATTAGCAAAATTAATAAATTTTGGTCAACTTGGCCATTTCCACTCAGAATACAACGAAGTTGACAAGAATTGAATTGTTTTCAGACATAACTGCTCATAATGTTGCTGCCATTATGACCAAAGAATACCAGATATTTGGAAATTTTGATTTGCTGCTGCCAGGCCAGACTTAGTGCTGGAGACTGAAGGCTTTCGAGGTCTAGTACAGAGTCAAACCTTTGCAAAACCCAAAGCTTTCAAGCTGGAAATCCTAGAGTCTGTAGTGCTTTTCAGATCCTGCATGAAGGTGATAGGATTGTGGAGAGCTCCGGCGTTAAGGGCTGCCTGTCCCACAGCACTTTGGTCTCTGGTAACCACCCTTTGTGCCAATCTTCTGAAAACACAGCCTACCAGGGAATGCTGCACAGTTGAGGTTCTGGGCTTTGTAAAACCTTGCAAGAAATTTGACAGTGTTTCACTGGAACTTTCTACTTTTGCCAAATATATAGGTTTTGACCCAAAAAGCACTTTCAGTGGTTTTTATAAAAGATGCTTGGGTGAAAAGTTAACAGTCAGTTCTACTCACACGGTAGGTCTCGTGATCATTCTCTCCTCCCTTGCCTTGTCTTTGCTACAGCTGTCAAAATGCTTGGTTTACAAAATAGCTTCTCATAAACTCTGTAGTGTTTCCCAAATCTTTGAACGGCGGTGATGATAGTGCACACACTTAGTAGGGATGGTATGTTTAGTTTAATGTAACACACAAAGGATGTCACAGTTGAAGGCTATAAATGCCAAAGAATAAGTAATTCCAATGTTAAAATTTTTGGAAACCTTGGTTTTGGTTTCTGAAATAGGTGTGACTTATAAGAAAGGATCTATAATTAGATGCTGGGTCCATACTATACAAGACAAATATTTGTTAACACTGCATTTGAAGGGAGGAATGTTGCCAGCATACACTGCCAGACAGATAAACTACATTTGAGCACTGCTTTAAGCAGAAACCAAAATATCCTGCCTGAAAGAAGAGGCTGATCTTTCCTGTATCAGAAATCTAAAACATACCTGAGAACCAATGATAAGCTGAATAAGGTGGCAATCATTCAATTAAGAAATTACAGACTTGCAGGAATTACGACTCTGTGTCTCTCAGTATTCCATTAGTTTCTTTCAAATTAAAAAAAAAAGAGATGTAATGACAACAGACAGAACTGAAAGTGCCTTCTTTTAATATCAAATTATGCACATTTTCCATTCCTTTTCTCCTTGGTAGTTATAAATTTTGTTCACCTTTTTAAAAGATGCTGTATTACCTAACATAACCAGGAAACAGCTTTTGTTAAAAATACTGCTATCTGTATAGTCTCTCGAGGAAAGTAGCTGCTCTGAGAGTACTTGTTAGATGAAAGGTTTAAGCAATTTAGGTTGAAAACAGAAACATATATACAGAAAGAATCCCCCAAAGATATGCAACAGGCAGGGGTTTTTAAACAATTATCTCCTTCCTGTCATATTAGTTAAAATTTATCTGCCATTACTAAAACCTAAGTCAATATAATTAAGTTTTTAGCCATCTTTTTGTCTATTTACATCTGTTTTGATTTCCAGCCTACAGGTCAGATCTACCTGGCATTTGAGAATTGTTTTGTTTCCTCTCCCAAGCTTTGTTTTCCAAATCAACTTCAATTCTCTCTTCAGAAGTGGTTTATCATCAGGGACTTAGTAGAAAAGAATTCCATTAGCTCTCATTTCTCTGAACTGCTGCTACCCATGCAAGGCTGACAAAAACAAAATGTCTTTTGCCATAGAAACACTACTGTGTATGCACATGCTAGTCATAAGTAATAGTTTCTACATGTTTTTCAAGGACTCTCACATTGAAATTTATTTTAAATCAAAACTTGTCCAGTTCTAGATTCACTCAAACTTCAAAGATGCTACAAAACTCCAGGGAAAGAGCATTTTAAAATAAAAATTAGAAGACAAATGATCCATTCCAAAGAAAACAGCTTAGCAAACTCTTTACCTTCCCTCTACTGCTGGTGTAGCATTATGTTGATTTATCCTAGAAAACAGATGAGTGCAGATAACATACATTTGACATTCAGGATGCAAGGTCACTCTATATTTTAGATTCCATAAACTAATTGAGTGTACAAGTGATTAATTTGCCCATGAGTGTAACAGTTACAACAGATGCAGCTGAATTTACTGTGTTACTTTGTAATTGCTGTCCCCACATGGGTATAAGCATCATTCTCAACCAGAAGTTACGGGCTCAATGTGAAAATTACTGGGTGAACTTGCCTTTGTTATGCAGGAGCAAAACGTGGTAAGATTTCTTCAGGCTTAAAAATAGGCAGATGAAGCAATAACAAAAAGCTGAAGATAAAAATTCTAAACCAAAAAACTCTTATTTGTGCATTTACATTGTATGTGTGATGAAAGAGAGTCTGTAGTCAAATCCTCTGCTGCTGCAAATTAACTAACTTAAATGTAAGAATAAAATCACTGGGACTTATTAACAACAGCAAAAACAAAGCCATTTTTGACTGGCAGATGTTTCTTTAATTGTGCTGGTAACTTTACACGGCCATTCTGGACATCTGACATTTGAGAATAATTAAATTCAAAAGCGCCATACCTTCCGAAGAGGTTTGAGCTTGGTCTCCATTATGAAGTCATACTTGCAGAGTTCACAGCAGCGCGTGTCCGAGCTCTTAATCCACTGGTGCAGGCAGGCCTGATGAACAAAGCGCAGGGTCCCTGTGCAGCGACATGGCGTGATGAGGGGATTTTCATCATCTCCCTCGCAGTGACAGATCCTGACAGGAAGGACAAGCAAGAGTGAGTGAGGGAACTTGCCAACCAGCAATGCAAAGGCATGGTTTATTTACACCGCTTTCTCATCTTCAGACTTGACATTCAAAAGATGCCAGGTGTATGACCTTTCAGAATGAGGCCCAGAAACGTATTCCTTGTTCCTTTCTGCCATTTCGTAATTTCTCTTCACTTAGTTATTTCTCTTTGAATTTGCTATGTGGTCTGAAGGGGAATCAATAGAAACAACACTGGTTTTCCCTTTTATGCATGGCAAAACCTTTAAAACAAATACCAGAGCTCTTTCTAAGAGCAGAATAGTTCTTGGTCTGTAAGCAATGCCAATCAAATCCTCAAAGGTAGACAAATCTAATCCACACTGAAAATATCCAGCATGAGAGGGGCAAAAAGAAGGTCTCTTTGGAGGTTAAAAGAATCAGAGAGCAGTTTTAAGTACCCTGGAGTCATGCATATGGCACAGTGTATACACACATGCACACACTTTTTAGGAGACAGGTGTTAAAAAGTCACGGTTGTTTTTTTCATTCTTCACTGTCCCTTTGAAGCAGACAGCTGTACTATTTGGGAAAACAAAAACTACAGCTCTAAGCAGACCCTAAGATAGAGATTGGTCCCAGAACAGTTTTACCTTATGATGGGATACAGAGCTTTTCACATTGTGGTTTTCATGTTGCATAAAGTGATCAGTGTTCTAACATCATAATCTGATGGGTTTCTTCTGTGACACATGTCCAAATGTCCTGCTGATCTTATTCTCTTTTCAAACAATCTCCTGATCATATCAGGAAAATATTCACCCACTGAAATCAATGAGAGCTTTGTTGGTAAGCATCTCTGTGAAGGCAGAGAAAGCTCTACGGTGAGCAGAAGGCTTAACTGAACACCAGAAGTTGAGATTCACTTCAACAAAGGGTAACTCCCTCCCATTCCCAACACAGTAAAACACACCAAAGCACTCAAGCCCTAATGGGTGTCTGAAGTGTCAAATTAGCATGCAAGAGAAAAAAAAAAAAAAAAAAGCTGAAGCCTGAGTTCTTTCAAAATAGAGAAGTAGCAGTAACAGCACAGACCCTGGTATCACACAAATGAAACTCAGGCCTTAGACACTTAGGAATGGTTCCCTCAGAACTGACACATGCAGAAGTGTCTGAACATGTCTGAGGAATAACTCACCCTTTTACACAGAAAACTGTGACTGCACCACTCCTAGGGTAGGAAAAAGGGTAGGAGAGCCCTGTGATGAGATTGCCTTCCTACTGGTCAAGTTAGGGAAGACGGGTGACCTTCTTCCTAGCACAGGAGCTCCTGGTGTATGTCAGGGGGCAACCTGACAAAGACCTCCTGGAAAGACTGGTTACTGAACAGCTCTGAGGCTACCAAGTCTATGAGCTGGGGAGGCAGGGGGAAGGAAATTTCGATGTCTACATGAAAGATCTATGGATCAACACTGGAAGCTCCATTATTCTTCCATGGTGTTGCCCAGAGCCATGAGAAAATGAATATGATAACATGAAAGCAAAGCAAAGCTGCTTTGCTGGATATATAAAGAGAACAAAAAAATCCAACAAATAAATGAAACTCTGGAAACCTGGTCCACTAAGGACAAGGTTCAGTGTCTGCAGTAGTGCTTATAGAGGATTTCATACCCCATGGCAGTAGAGGGGAGAAGAAAAATACCCAGAATTTCCTTCTTACATACGCTCATTTTTTGAGACACATCTTACAGGAACTCAATTACAGTCTTGTCTTTACTAATCCAGCCAAGCTAGGTGCATCAGTAGCTTAGTTCTTAAACGGAAACTGCCTATATGGAGATTTCTTATTGAGCCTCTAGCCTAAGCAGAACTAAATTTTCAAAACACCGAATAGTTATTTTTCTAACAAATGCATTCCCAGCTGAGATTTAAATAGAAAACATTATTTTCTTTTTAAATTAAAGCTATTCCCCAAAGGAAAACCAGTATTCGTTGTTCATTTAAATTCAAGCTATAAATAATTTATTTTACAGCCTTAGCATTTAAACTGTTTAGAAATTAGACAACCAAGCTACGTACCCAAAAGCCTTTATTTCTACTACTGCCAAGATTGTTTAAAACTATTTTCAGAGCTAAAAATACAAGCCTAGAACTCCACTGGGTTTTTCAATGAAGTGACACTGCAAATTTGAAATTAATAGAAGTAATCTTCAGTCCAAATACTTCCACACAGTATATGCATTATACATTCCATTTGTGCTTTTCTTGGACAGAAGTTAAAAGCCAAATGTATAAATAACAGAGTGACTCTAAGAACTTATACAGAAGCTCAGGCTAAATAATCTAATGGCCTCTCCTAGCTTTATAACCATGAAATATGTAACTAGAATTAAAACAAAACTTCAATAGGAATTAAAATCCAGAGAAAATGACCAAAGGGATGGCTTTCATTAGCTTGAATGCTCTTTGGTCTCTTTGGTGCAATTTAGCTCTTCATTATTTGTTTAAGCAGAATAAATTAGCTTAAAAGAAATTTGTGTTACCTAAACTCAGAATGACAGTCTAAAGATATATGGGTTTCTGGCAGCTATGGTAACAGACTCCTGGCTAAAAGTTTTAATATCTCTTAAAACTTGGATCAGATAACTTGCACTATCTTCCTCAGCCATTAGTATCAAATCACAATTTTGTGCACCTTTGCTCTTTGCTGTATGAATCTATACTGTACATCATAAATACCACAAATTATGGAAAATATATTGTAAAGTGGTTTTGAGAAATTTGTTGTGCAAACAGAATGGAGGTAGGGATACAAAGCATAGACTGACTTGAACCATATCTAAATCAAGTAGGAGGCAGAGAATTGTCATTCTAGTTTCCAATTGTCAAATGTTCACAACTGTTTGAAACTTTCATGCATCAGATTGATTATTTACAGGGCTGAACTTATCCTGACAGTAAAATTTGCTTGCATACTTTGGAAAATAGTTGCATGGAAAAAACATGAAACACTCTCTACAGTAAAGAAAAAAATATATAAGTTGCTAAATCTATACTGATTTATTTACAACTTGTAGTATAGCACTGATCATGCTTAAAGCTGTTTCAGCAGTTTCAGCTGCTCAGACACACCTATAGACTGTACATACTCAGCTTGTCTCAACTTTCTAGTCCTTTAGTAGATAAATGGCCTTCATTATAAACCAATACTTTTGACTATCTGGAAATGGAAGGGAAGAAAATCAGCTATTTGACCTTTTAGTTAAAAGTCCTTAATACTCACAAACTGAGCCTGCATAACTTTCTTTTTTTTCTTTTCTTTTTTTTTAAGGTTTGACAGCTTAATGCTTTAAAGATTCCTCTCTATGAACAGGACCTTGCTTTTCCAGAGGAAAAGATGAGCACAAGTCTCCAAAGGAGCTTTTGCTCCACAAATCATGTGTACACCAGACAACACAGGATACGTGATCCATTAGTTGATCTTCCGACTCAGATAAACAAAATTTTGTGTGTGTATATGTATAACATACACCTACACTCATATCCCTATACACTGAGATCACAGAATATCTATATTTCTTTAAATAAAGCTTAGTGTGAATCTTTATGAAATAATACTCTAACAGTGCTGTCATCCTTATGTTTAGGTTTTTGCTTTATATGCCAGTATTTTAATTACTCAGCACAGATTTTTCTAGCATAGAATTGTTTCTACAACCTTCAGCACACAGATGTACTGAGCAGAGAAATTAGTGCCAACAGTGTGCATGTATCAGACAAAAAAAATCCACAAAAATTCTATAAAGGATGTTCTTAAACAGCAGGTTCACATACCTTGCAATAAATTAAGAAAAAATTTTTCAGGAAAAAAAAATAAAAATGCTAAAACTGAAAACACATTTTGTATAATTAATATAAAAACTGTTGCAGAGCTCTTGTATGTTCCCTACAAAACAACAGCCCCGCCAAACCAAAACAACACCTCAAAAAGAAACAGAATAGTTCAAATACTTCAATTTAGAAAAACTTTAAAGAACAATGTATGTAAAAATAGAAAGTTAAAGAAGTTTACTGTGAAGATTTCAGAATAATTGTTCAGTATTTCTTTTTGTTCAAAATGTAATTGAATTTAAAGTACATTCAAATGATGCTGGAAAACAGCAAGAGTTATCTTGGATGACTGTCCTTCACTTCTGATAAATTTTTAAATAAATAAATAAATAAATAAATAAATATTTCTAACATAATCTCAGTTTAAAAACTTAAATAAAATCAGTATGAAACAAGGACTTCACATGGTAAACTTTCAGGTTTTTCTAACAGTGATTGATTCTGGCAAAATCACAGCAACCAAAATTGAAGTCTAGATGATTATCATCCAAGCTGCTTATTGCAAGAGATGCAGGGAGATTCCAACAGATTTGTAGCTTTTCCTTCACGAGCAGTTAACAGTTTTACTCTCATTAAAGGGAATAGATGCTAATCTCTAACCCTATTGGAAAAATAGCTGTTTCCCTAACCTGTCTTTCACTAGTCCACCGGACTCTTCAGTAACTAAGAAAACAGACTGATCTTGCTCCCTCTGTAGTAGAGGGACAACTAGAAAACATACTTATTCTGCAGGACTTAGAGCTCTGCTCTGACCCAGCTGGCAAGTGCTCATCTATGACAGTATCTGTATCATTCCATAGATGACTGCTGTCAAAGGAAAGGGATTAAAGATAAGAATCAATCAGCATGCCCTTGTTTCTGCTTCAAGCCACATTAGTAATCTTGTCAAGCAGCGCTGGTGGAAAAGTGTATGCAGGAATTCTGCATCACCAGAACTCTTTCTGTGGATCCTATATTTGCAATTGGCACTGCATCTGAATACCTGACAAATTTTTCATGGATTTTTGGCCATTACGTATAGGCAAAGGGTTTAGCTATGGTAATGCAGCACAGGTAGTTTCTATAGACTTCCAAAGTCAAATTTCAGCCTCATAAACAAATGTACAACCTAGGGGAATACCTCTGTGACTTAAAAAAATAGAAGTGCAGATGGGGACCTGGGCATACTGATAATGGTGTACAATAATGCTTAAGGGCTATAAATGATGTAATAATGTAAAAACTGTATTGTTCTTTAATATTCCTGTACATCTATGTTCATGCTAACAAGCATTGCAGTGAAAATGTAGCAAATCTAGGAAATCTATTGAAAAAAACCAGCTAGTGCTAAAACCTGAGGTAACTACCCTAGACAGATCTTGGTGGAGGTTGCTTTGATATGATACTGATTTTAGGTTGAACCAGGAATACACCTTGCAGTTTACTTTCACTCAAAGGGAACACAGCTGGCGAACCCTGAGACCAAGCCTCAGCATAGTCTGAGGTAAAAGTAATGATGATCATATGTGCTTCAAAAGCAGGTTCTTTATCTGAACTAAGGCACTAATGGAGGCCCCTTTACTCAAAACTAGGAGGAGCTGCAGCCTTGTGACTGGGGCGTGTTTACACCAATTGTGATGCAGTTTCTAGGCACTAAATTAATGCAGGTGCAGATGCCCAGTACCCTTACTGTTATTTTCCTGAAGATGGAAGTACACCAGTAGAAGAGAAATGCTTTTGAACTTTTAACAGATCTCCCTAATAAAAGAGGGCAATATTTTCTCCATATAAATATGCTCAAGGAAGATAATGCCTATTCCAGAAATATTTCTAGTCAGAAATGATTGAAAAGGCAGTTAAATCTTGCCCTTCACTGGAAAGCACACATGGACTCATAATGATTAGGCAGAGAAAAATTCTTACCCTGTTCAGCGGGTACATCTCATCTCATCAGCGGGTATATCTCACTATTGCTAAAGGGAGCTGAGTCAGAAAGAAGCAGCAGAGCTGGAAAATGTTGGAGCATTGGACTTGATTTTTGGCTGTGAGGATTATTAGCTTCTAGCATGAAATACCATGAGCTCCTAGGTTATCTTAATTGGACCAAAAGGAACCAATTCCACAGGATTGCAAAAGGATGCACAAAACTGCTGTAACTGCTGTCTGATTTTTTCTTAGGAAAACTATTCTCCTGTCCAGAAAAGGTCATCTTCTCTTTTGCCAATTTATAAACTGCTTACAGTGCTCTTAAATAGCTAGAACCTAAAATGAAAGCAAACATCTTTATTAAAAACTCCCAGCAAGTAATTGTCATTCATAAACAGAATCCACAAAAACATCAAACTCTGCTCATGCATAATTTATCAATTGGAAAAAAAAGTTAAATTCACTGAATACATTCAGCCTGCAATAGGTTACAGTGTGCCATGTTTCTCTTGCTTTCATTTTACAGGCTTTTTTTTTTTTTTTTAATCTCATTTCCATTCTTCGCACTTTTAAATCACAAAGTAATCTAAATGACAAATTGGTCTTACTCTCCATTTAAACACAGTGTAAATGAAGCACATTAATTCTCCATACCAAATGTAATCAATTTGTATGGATCTTCCCTGTCACTCCTGCCCTTCCATTATGCTATACAGTCAGCTGTCTTTACCTGACTAGAGGAAAACACATTTTCGAAATGTTGCACCACACTAGTGGAATTTCATAATGGCCCAGGGTAAGCTTTCTCTTCATTTCTGCAAAAGTGATATGAATTTGTATGAGACCCATAGCAAACAAAATTACCAAAAGCACACTAAATATTTTGTCAACATTTCTTGTCCTTCTATTACTCTTACATTATATGTGATAAATATGATATCTAACCATCTGAAGAGTTACAAGTAAGTGCTCTTCAGATGCCCTGTCAGTGCCGCTCAAGATACGTGTCTAACAGGATTAACTGCATTGACAAAGTTCAAAGAACTAGAAACTGCATCTTCAGATTTAGATTTCCTCCCATCCACCTAGTGAAAGTCAAAGCTTTAAGGAACTAAACTCCGTATAGAAAATATGCAAGCTTTAAGTATTTAGTAATGGAACCCTTAAAACCATGGGTCTCCTCTCACCCTTGCTTTCTAGTGGGAAGTGGTGCCATTTCACCTGTTTGCATTAAAAATAATAATAGGTTTTGGGAGAAAGAAGCAGAACCCAGGACTCAGTCGTCCCCCCAGATAAATGAGTCTAACCACAACAAAGACATGCTTGCCTTGCTTTGGCTCTCCTTGCATCCTTGTGAATCTTGGAGAGCTTCCAAAAGCGACTGTATAACCAGATGGCTGAAGAGGTGACAGATGGGGCTTCGAACCATCAGACAGAGAATAGAAGTAACCAGAATTTCATATTGCTTTGAAGACTAATGAACCACCAGACCGTCATACAGAGGAGGATGTTCCTCAAGAAGCAGGAGATTCATATCAAAAAGTCACCTCACAAAAATAAGTCTCTGAATGGGAAAGTAAGTAGCAGTCCCAGTTCTTTTGAAGGAAGGAGTGAGGAGGACATGCAGGACAAGATTCAGAGACTTAGCTCCTAATGAACGTGTCATCCTGACACCACAAGGTACGCACTAACAGCCCAGGGAGAAACAGGGCAGAAACTCTCTTCAGCCAAAAGTTAAAGGCAGGAATTTTCCCAGTTTACAGGGATTTTAGAGGGCTCTGGATGGTATGTCAAGTCTAGAGTTTATTCACTGGATGCAACATCATGGTTTCAGTATAAGTATTTAAAATGAGTACTAAATATCAACAGTAGAATTTAAAGCTATAAATATATCCATCTATAGTTCAACTTTCTCTTTTTTTTTCCCTCAAGGACTTGTTTCCTCCCAAGCAGCTTTCTACCTGTTGATTTTGTGAGCACTCCGCTACCTGAATATTTCAGAATGTAAGGATTTTCATGCAAGATACTATTTTTTTGCAGGTTCTACTAATTAACATTATGAAAAAAAACCTCTGTTACAACATTTGATTTCCCAAAGAGAAACTACTTAATCATATTGGTTCTCATCATGTGCAATGTATGTATGCTATTTCTTCCTATCTGCGATTGTGTTAACATACAGACATGCCCATATTAGTCTTTTCCAAAGTTTGTAATGGCCTCTAAATTTACACACTAGCTTTTAAAAACTAATTTTTAAAATTTATACTTGAAATAGCTTCTGCAGATCTCATAAATCAACATCATTTTCTTTATTTCTTCTCCCCATCTCTACCTGTCTTCTGGCGTGCCATACTCTTCTAGTTACTTCTCAAATGAGGTTCTGCTATTACCTGACTGCATAAACAATCATTCAGAGAGTTCAACAAAATCAAAATTTCACTTCCAATAAGCATTTTTTTCAAAGTGAGAGACTCTGCCTTATTTAAGTGCATGTGGTTTTGCTGAAATGACTGAATCAGTACTAGAAAATGATTTTACATCAGAAGCCCAACTAGTCAAACAGAAAATATCTTTAAACTCTCCCAACATCAATAATAAAAATACCATAAGATTAATTCAGAGTCAAAACACAAAGCACTTATGATGCACTAGTGGTAATATCAACGAACTAGCTTTCTTTCCTTAGTAATTCCCATGTGAAAATCCATCATTCTAAATCCTCACAATCCATTCACTTTATCATGTCTCACACATAGCTGTTCCCTTCAGGGAGATTATCCACATGCAGACCAAAGAAAGCTATTTCTGAGGCTGTTCCTCAAGCCACATGGCAAATTCCAGCATAAAGTATGAAGATATGAAGAAAATCTCAAGACACAGGGCAACTTAGGAAAAGGGGTATCCAACTGTATGATTTAGAAAGCCTATCCTGGGAATCTTAAAAAAAAATAAATTATGTGCCAAAACAATTCAGCATGGGCAGAATTTATGTTGTCCCTAATCTCAGAAGCAGAAACCTTGCCTTCTAATGGATTCCAGAAAAAAGCAGTGGTTCAGGGAAGAGATTGTAAAGACCATCACTGATGCCATGACATTGTTTTATCACTGAAAACAAGGAAACAGTGACAGTAGAAGGGCAAATGTTTCACATGAAGTGACTAAGAGGCTTGCTTTAGACTAGCTGAAAAATATATTGTGCCATGGTTCTGTACTTTATCTGACTAATGTGTTTAAGCTGGAATTGGGTGTGTCCTGTCATATTCCTGCTCATGTTGCTAAATGCAGATTGAAGAAACTGCTTACAGTAGTGTTCCACAATTCATGTGTTCAACAATTCATGAGGAAATAAAAGTAAAAAAAAGTGTCTCTCCAAAAAATTAAAGATAAAATAACTGGCACCAAGATATATTTAATATCCCTGCTTCTCTGCTATTTATTTCCACACAATCCCATTTAGGTGAGGGCCATTCCTCTCAGCCAGTGCTGTCACACCAACTAGAAGATGTGAACAGCTACGATGAAAGGCTTGAAGAAACACCCCAGGAAAACAAATTTTCCACATCACAACCAGCTCTGCTAATCCAGTCTTAGAAAAAACATCACAAGTCCTCTGTCCTTTTTCTATTTCTCATGCAGAAAAATGGTGTCCATACGCTCAACTACACTGACACGTAATTATCCTTTTTTGTTTGTTTGTTTCAGATGCGAATCTGAAGAAAGACTTAGCACAGATCATGAATCAATTAGGTGCAAGGACCTGTTCTGAAAAAGAGAAACTACAGCCTACAGTGAATTGATAGTAAAAACAACTATATTAACACTGGTTGTTCAAAGAGCATCTCCACTGATAGTGAGCCTAGGGGCTCACACTTGTCAAAGGCTTTCAACTTCCCTCAGTTAAACATGTTTGCCTAAAAAGTCTGCATGCACATCCAAAAAGTCCTTACTTGAACCAAGCTTCAAGCCTTACTAACAGTAATTATAACAAAATTCAGTGAGTTGAGAAGACAGATAAAATACAAGTCCACTTGTATATATATATATATATATATATATTACAAATCTTTAATTCATATATATATGTGTGTGTATATATATATATATAGCACCATACAGTTAAGCCCATATAAAGACCCATTCTGCATATTTTTGTTCAGGTTTTAGGTAGCTTAGATTCTTAATAATTATTAAATGACCTATTGTACATGTACTGTGTGTACTACACTGGATCTTCAATACGTGCAGGCTTGGTCATTCAGAAATTCAAGACAACTCTGAAGATTTTGAAGTAGTGACCCGTGCACACCTCTGCATCATACACTGCATATACATTTCAAGTAATATGGTTACCACTGTTGCTGTTTCTTTGCATTTCCAAAAGCTGAAGAGGTCCCAAGCCAGTGGTCTGATCCTGATATACAAGCTCATGTACAAAACCATCCAGTCTTACTCTGAAGAATCATAAATTATCATGACAGACAACGGTCGGACAATGGAAACGTGTATTTATTTCTTGGTAAGTATAACAAGCACAGCACTAGCTGTATTAGTAATGGCTTATATCTTCTGCTGTGAAAAAACACAATGCCTGCATGTTACCTTTTTTCTCTTTAGAAGTAGGATCTTTGTACCATGTTACGAGGTTAGACTATGCTGTGAAACTGCGTGATGTGGCATAATGAACTTCCTCATCCTGACTGTGTTTACATTTCCACGCAAATTTCTTCCCAGCAAAGAAAAGTGAGAAGTTTTGGGTTACCGGATGAAGAAACCAAGTCTGATTTACATTTTGTAGATAAGAGTTAATGCTGGCTCACAAGTTTTGTGAGGTAAAAAAAAAAAAAAAGAAATGCTTGTTTCAGTTCTGTTAAACTTACAGGACGGTGCATTTTCATTTACCACTAAATTAAGTAACTCAAGATCTCCCAGCTGTGTTCTCCAAATCTGAATGTTAGCTCAGAAGTAGCTAGCTTGCTCTCATTTCCAGAGTAAAATGCTCACCTTCTGGTTGCACTTCACACCAAGAACATCCGATTTTCAGAAGCCTGAACTTCTGGACTAAAGAGAACTCTTAGTGTTGCATTTCCTTTCCCAAAACTTATCTTAATGCTTATGCTGCCCAATCATCCTTTTTTATCATTCCAATCCTTGTGATGGGTACTGACCTAACAGCCCCTACACATTCGCAGTCTAGAGGTGGTTGGCGCTACAAAGTCCCATACAAATTATGCCACACTGGAGAGGATGTTTTGGAAGTACCATCCGTCAGATTCTTGAGGTAATGGCAACTCTAGAGGACACTGAATCAAGACCATAAATTTATTTCATATAAGTCTAGAAAAAATTACATATAGGGACCAAAGCTGGATTTGAACTGATCATCTAAGGAGGAAAAGCTCCATATCCCATTGCATTGAGCTATCTGGTACTCTGTTTCATTCTCTGCCTCTGGCTCGAGATTTAAAACACAGCAATACTCAGAGGACACAGTGGATCCCTCTTCAAGAAGATAGATAAGAGGAAAGGAAAACATCTGGTTCCCTTGTAGGATTGCTGGTTTTAAGTAAGAGAAGTATGTTTTCAGACTAAGATATGCTAACTTTTCTGTAGGAAAGGTTCTTGTGTTATTTCCTGTGGCCTGCCTGGCAGTTTATTACTAAGAAAAAGTGACAGAAAGCAGTCAAGAGAAGGGCACTCAGAGTGTGGCAGTGAGAAATTCCTCTAAAGAATGTTAAATCTTTTTTATTAGGGACTAACCTGCATACTTCTAAGTCATCAGACCAGTCATCATAGAACACTGGAGGCTTCTGAACAGCATGAGGCACAGTGAACCCTGCCCCAGCAGGTGCTCCATTGTCTGGGACTGCCAGAACATCACTGCCAGAGCCTGCCTCTGCAAAGGAGTCCTTCAAATCTTTACTGTGTCTAAACAAAGGTGCAGGCTGATGATCTCTGTGGTAGCTTTTCCCTTTGCTTTTCCCACATTTTCTTGAGGAAATCTTTGCTTCCTGAGATGATGCTGAAGAATGTGATTCCTTAAGTCTTGGAACCCTTCGGCGGTGGTTTAAAGTAGAATTCTCGGGGTCAGATACCTCTTGTTTCTTTTTTCCCACTGTCCCCAAGGTAACAAGTTCAACAGCATTATTGTTTGAGGACCCATCCTGGTTACTGCATGATCTATTGTTTCTTCTCCCTCTCCTGGCCAGTCTGGCCTTTTCTCTTGCTCTCCTCCTAGCCTGAGCCCACTGACTCTCATCTGAAGATGATGATGAATCAGATGCATTCCAGCTGGATCTTGGAGGCTCAGGATGCAATTTACAGTCTTTCCCCTTTCCTTGCTTTTCTGTGTGCTCACCATTGTCTCCAGTCTCTCTTTTCCGCCTAAACCTTCGTTTTACGTGTTTCTTACCAGACTCCCTATTAGAAGGGGTCAGCACCATGACAGGGGTTGCATGTTCAAGCTCATCTTCTGACAAGTCATGCAAGGTAGTAGATCTGGACAAAGCAGCAAGCAAAGGAAAGGGATGGAAATGGTAAGGGTGGATAGAAAGAGAGAAATCACAAAAAAAGAGGATGAAAATGAGAACATGAATTTTAATAGAAAAACATGAGACTAAAAAGCATAAACAAAACCAAAGAGATCAAAAGAAAGCTAAAGTCTATGTAAATTATGAATAAAGTTAAGCAGAAGCAAGAGCTATACAATATTTAATAAAAACAAATAACAAGTATCAGCCATATTAGAGTACATTTTTCTCAGTACATACCTACAGATGTCCTGAGTGGAAGGGCAGACAGACAACCGTGACTGGCTCCTGGGAGCTGTTCCTGTTGTAGGACTGCTTGCCTGTTGAAATAAGTTCGACAGTTTGGAATCTTTGTCCATGAAATACATTGCAGATATTTTACTGTTTGGCCACATGATTAAAAAATTAAAGTAACTGCTTCTGCTGTTCATAGCTCACTGTTGAACACATACAAGCTCACAAAATACAGGAAGCTTGAACAAAAGCGAAACCTATTTGTGGAACTAAGAATGACTGAAGTGTTTGAGCTCTCATTCGCTCATGACTACTGTTTGTCGTTGTTTGAGGAAGCAGCTTTCAACATTTGAGTTTTTATTTTGATCTACTGTAAATGTCTGATGGGAAAGGATATTGCTTTTAATTCAATCAATCAAACAACCATGATGATTCCTTTCAAATGGTATGAAGTGCATTTGCATTATGCTAAGTGATGAAGAACCCAAAGCTAACCTATGCTGGACTGATGAAACAGTGAGAAAATAAAAGTGTGTTTTAAAAGGTTTTCAAGGCAATCAGGTCTTCTAGAAGAGCTGAAAATGTTAAACTGATGAGAGCCTGAGAAGACCAAAGTGCAGGTTGCATCTCTGCAGAACTGATCACATTCTCAAACAGCAGAAGAGATATAAAACATACTTAGTGTGTAACATTTTGCTCATAAGGTTGTTGCTACAAATTGCAGATTCAGTTACTCAATACTTTCACTGAAAACATATTTTGATTGTGTTAATGGCAAACTATTTCAATCTGCCTCACCACCTACTGGCAGCAGAGCTGTATGGAAATGTAAATCCAAGGCACTGTGATTCTTCAGGATCCCTCATGAGACACAGTATTGTGGGAAGAGTATTCAACACAAATCATTCTTAAAGCTCTTACCTTCCCTTAGCTGATTAAGGGCATTAGCTTTTTGAATGAAACCTATCCTGTTGTGAGCACCACTACCAAATGCAGACAAAAAACTACAAGCCTCAGAGTCCCACAGGATTGTGCACCAGATCCAAGGGAAGGATGACTATTAAGCAAGAGTACAAAGTACAAATCATACAAAGATGTAGAGGCTGTCATCGCAATCTCTTGTACTAGCAAATCAAATTCAGTCACATGTAGAGTCTGAAATTAAAATAATTTCTAGCTTAACCTTCACAGATATTTTTGTGGTGTCAAAAAGGTGTTTGAAAATTAGTAGTATGGGCAAAAATAATTACATACAGCAAGTACCTGCTGACACTTCACTTTTATCCAGGGTTCTTAATATCCATTACATTTAGTGCATACATCACCACTATGTGCATTTTTGCTTTTGATTGGATACCAGCTGAGACTTAAGAATGGTGCTTTTGCATTAAAACAATCTTCTAGCTTTTGGAATTCAAGTAACCCTTTTTACCTAATGATTAATATCAGAAAAATACACCAAAACCCACCAACAATATTACTGATTTTTCACTACCATGAATGAAACTTGGAGATACAAAAACCAAGCAACTTGAGAAATTAAATTGATAAAGCATTTGGGCACAATCCTTATGTTCTAATGCTTTTGCAACGTCTGGAGGAACAAGGAGGAACATTAGTGTGCCTACGTGCAGTCTAACACTGGAAAAAATGGACAAGTATCAGTGAGAGAAATTGTATTTCACATCTTTTCTACAGAAGCAACATTTCAATCACATGTACTGTGACAGAGTATGAATTTCTCTTACATGCATATTAGAAACCTATGGTATATCTTTATGGTTGGGTATATAATCTTTTTCCACCTCAGCCTCTGTGATTAGCTTTACGTAATTAGGCATATCTTAAGCTACTTAATGAGGAAGTATGCAGACTTCATCACCAGAACCATGTCCTTGGGCTACATGCTGCTGCTGCTGCATGAAAAAAATGTCCCTCCAGACCAAACTCCAGCTGAAGGACTGCTGAAGCAATACAGCCCCAGAGCCGACTGTGGACTCCTGAATTCATCCCTCATCAGTAACTCCCTTATCCTTTTTTCCCTCACAGCTGCAGGAGTGTTACCATTGCTTCTTTCAGGATCTCTGTACTACAGGGGTTTGGCTTGATCTTAAGCAGTGGTCAGGTCATCTCCATGCTGTGAAAGCAATTTTTATGGCATCTTGCCACAA